TTTTTTTTTTTTTTTGTTTCCAAAGCACCACCAGCTGTGCGTCTGCACGCTTGATAAAGGGCAGATTGTAGACCCAAACGCCAAGAGAGAAGAGCTGTCAGTTACGCGAATCTTCACTTTGGCAGCTCATATTATGGATTTAGCATTAGTAACATTAGGGGGTAAATGCAATGGGAAATGATTTTTAGTGGTTCTTTTCTCTCTTTTTTGCTCTGTATCTTTTCCTGTTGTCCCAAAGTGCCATCTGTTTCTCTCTCTCTGTGTCTCCTTTGCAACCGGTGGAAGGTCAGACATAACTCCAGAGCAGTGTGATTCCAATAAATCAGCATGGAGAAAATCTCCTCATTCTTCTTTCTTAACAGTCTATGGACCTGAAACCATGCATTAAACATGCTACACATTCAGCCAACCAATTATTTCCGACTACCATGATATAAATGTCTGATTTCTGTGGTCCAGAGCAGAACTTGTATCTTATATTTTGTCTTCGGTATTGCAATAATTGAATATATATACTTCCTGTATCACAGGCAGCTATTCTGTAATTGCATTTCTCAGCTGGGAAAATGCTATGCTAGGGAACTTTAACAACATTATCAATATTACCAAAAGCCCAGAATCATTGCATCAGTCTTGCAGGCTTTACATCAACCATTCTATTTAAAATAGACAGAATAAAAGGTGTAATATTCCAGACTAGAAGGATGTTATGTCAATATTTCTTGGAAAAAGTTCACCATCGAGGCTGGTTGGATTTTCAATTGCGTCAGTAGGCCATTTTCAGCTGCTGTACCACCTCTTTGTTTATGAGGCTAAAGATAATGTGCGTCTGGCATTTAGCCCTGCCATTTGTGGCTTTCAGTGGAAAGAATTCACAGACACTGAATTTGACCCTTTTTGCTTTTTTTATCGCACAAATATGTTTTTCTTTCTGAAGCAGCCAGAAAACAAGAGCTCTGTTTATGAGCATTGTAACAAAAAGGCTAAAGCCTGCGGCTGGAAGAATAGCGGCGAGTTGTAAATAAGTGTCCAGATGTGATATGAGAACTTTACTGACGAAAACATGTTTTTGGGGTTGAAAACATAAATATCCTTGACCACTGCAGTTGTTGGGAATTGTAACACCCCTGGTCCCCCCACGTCCCCCCCCCCAACACCCCCCACCTCCCCAACCCACCTGGGCTGTGTGTATACGCGAGAAAGACGGACTCAGGAAAAACATGTCAGAAACCAACCACACACTCACACACACGCATAGTACTGACCCAAACAGGAAACTGATTGGGGAAAAGGGGTCAGCGACTT